TGAAGCGTGGCAACCCTGATTTCCGACCAAAGTTCCCAACAATATTTTTCATTTGATATCCATATTGCGATGTTTTAGATAAATTGTGTAGAATCGAAAATAAGTGGCAACCTTACATTATTATCTTAAGTGTAACATTTTGTATATGGGGAAAGCATTGTTTAAGAACCTTCTCTTGGTACGCATGAATAGTAATAATTTACCTTTTTTTCTAAACAAAAAATTAAATAAATATGCGATTCAATATAGGTGGCAACCTTATTAAAAATATTTTTGAATTAAAGATCTTTAAAATACCTACCATTTGATACCCATATTATGATGTTTTAATCAATTTGTAACTAATTTCGAATAGGTGGCAACCTTATACGAGTCTTCTCTGAAATAATGCCTATTCAGATAACCTTAGAATCCAAAACATTATCTGTGTACAAAATTTCATCAAAATCGTTAGAGCCGTTTCCGAGAACCCTATGGATATATATATATATACATATGTATATACAAGAATTGCTCGTTTAATATAATAAGATAAAGAAAAAAATAATCTTGAATAATTTTGTGTAAATTTGCAAAAATTAAGAGAAAGAGAAAAAAGAGCTGTGTCTGGGGTAAAGTTTTTTACGTTTCCTAAGCTTCCATTCGTACGAAAACAATAGCTATAAGCGTGTAATATTTGCGAAGAAAACTTACCCAGATTTATATTTGTGTGTGCAATAAACTAATTCTTTTTGTGGTCATAATGATTTTCAAATGTATGCATGCACTTTGTTAGGGCGAAGCGAAAGTATTTTCAGCCCGGAAACAAATATTGAGTCTTCAAGTGAAGTAATCTTGAAATTTCGTGAGAAGAATCCCATGAGCCTGAAGTATCCACAGAAGAAGAACTCTCTGTAAAATCCTTGCTTTTTAGTTTTTAATTGATTTCTAATTTTCATAAGTGGTTTTGCACGAAGAAGATGAAGCAGAAGATTTCATCAGACCACCCAAAGATGTGCAATATGATTTGAAAATTTTACCGGCTAATTTCAAAAATTGGGTTGACGAAATAAAAATAAAAATAATATTTACTCTAACAGTTTACATTTAAAATTTTTTAAATAAATAAAATAATTAAATCTTTTAATATTATCAAAGTGGCAAGGCCGTTAATAATACCTACTCACAGTGGCGGATTTGAATATTTGTCACCTCTAGGCAATTCAGAATTTACCGCCTTTTCCCGCTAAGAATAATATTTTGAGATAAAAGTACCAGTTTTGGAACGATTAGCAGAAAATATTAATATTCAAATTTATGTTATTTACTATAGGCTCATTCACGGTGACGGGTGTGACATTTCAACTCACATTTTAAGGCCTAATTCTTAAACGAGTATTTTCTAATAGGTTTCCGAGATATTCACAATGCCTAGAAAAAAAAATTCAAAAACAATTTATTCCGAACGAGTTCTCTGAATTTTAGTCACTGTGACGGGTGTGACGAGTACGCAAACCAAATTAGCTACTACTTACTTGCATCAGAAATTTTCTGCTAATTATGTCTTCTGCTTATGGTTTTAAATAGTTCGTTGTATAGTTAAATAAACATTCTCAACATTTACGCCAAAGTTGCTTACCTCTATTGGAAATTATAGATTATATATGTTCCAAATTCAACTGTGACTGGTAGAACTTGACTTTGTAACGGGTGTGACAAGTTGGGCATGAATACATAAATACTCATTATTAGACAACTAAGCTAACTTTATTTCTCAAAAAATCGGATTTTGCGAACACATACAAGATTCAGCCACCTAAAGACGGGATAATCCTTGATCGGACTCTTCATCTCCATTGTATGCCTGAGTAATTGTAAAGTACCTTATTTTTAAATGAAGCTCTTACCTGTCAAACAGAGGCCGTTACCTGTAAAAACCGTTTTACATACTGTTTTTGCCCTGACAAGCGAAGTAATGGTTTCTTTTTATCCGTGACAGCATAGCTTAAGTTTTCCCATCGCTCGAGCAACGTATCTTTATGATTAGCTTTATCATCGCTGATCACAAACAGATATATGACACATTTCAGATTAGCAGATAAGTAACAGTAGCAGTCCCTGACCGAATTTATTGAAGTTTGTCAAACTTTAAATTGGGACGGGTGTGACATGTGACGGGCGTGACCAACATAATCGGTTCTTTTTTTCGAAAATAAAGCATATAAATACTTTAAAGTAATTCGTACATATGTTCCTGTGTCATAGCGTTACTTTTGCCAGCTTTTTTACACTGTCCAAGATGTGTTTTTCTTCAAAAAATCACAATTTTTTTGTATTTTGTGACGGGCGTGACAGTAAAATATGCTTTGCTTCAATATATAATAAAATATTTAGTACTTTCCCGAAAAATTTGAAAATTACGCCGTTACAATGCTAACGAATTGTTCTCTCCACTGATGGCTTAAACAATGCAAAAAAGATAATAGACTACGAAAATGAGTCTTGTAAATTTTGAAAAAGAATTAACCTCTCATATGGGTTTGTAAATGGTACAACCTAAAGTAAAAAAAATATCTGATTTTGCGATAAATTTCGGAACTTTGGCTTTTAGTCTAGAAAATTAGATTTATTTACTCTTACTTACTAGAAATAATACAGTCAAATTCTCAAGTTTATTTTCGTTTCATTCGGTATCGATTACCGTGAAATGAGCCTATACTTTTATTACAATTTTAGATGAAAAGGTAGTATTTACCTTGAGTAAAGGTTTTCAACTTTTAAAGTAAGCCATCATCAACAAAGTATTTTGACTTGATAAGTTATACTCTCAAAAATACTAAATTAGTATTTTAAAAAATTGTATCATTTAAATAATATCAAAAATACCTAACAGTGTTGTCTTATTTTCTGATTGCGTAATTGAATCTCAGATTTATGTCTTAAAATGTACAAACACAAATTCTACTTCCAGTGCCTCCAACTTGAAAAAAAAAATCCTTTTTTTCAACTCAAATTTTGCCGGCCCTAACTTTTGCCGCCCTAGGTACCTGCCTATGTTGCCTTTACGGTAAATCCGCCACTGCCTACTCACAATTTATTAAACTTAAAAAAATTTTAGTATCCGTTGTTTATTGAAACTACCTTCCTTTTTGTATCGTGATAGCTATACCTCTGCTTTTTGAAACACAATAAATTTCCTAACCTTCACCCGTAAGATATAAAAAAAAACATATTCGCCGCCAGCTTTTGATAATTGTTTCATTCATTCATTAGGCATTGAAATTAGGGATATTCATCTACACCTGTGATGGGCACCGCCTTGCCCACGGGCAAAGCTCCTTCAAGATTTGTATATACTTTGCATAGTCGCGCGCAGAGTAAAAGCTCTCTCTGCCCATTGCTGATCTAAGCCCGGAAATTTTTTATTGTTACATTTATCGATATGGTTGCATAAATTTACGGTTGTGAAATTCTTAACTGTCGTAGCCATGCTAAACTTTTGACCTGTGTATAATTCTTGTCCAAAGAATTAACCACCACCTAAAGCGTTTTTATCGCCTGAGCTAAGTTTTTCAAAATAAAATTTAAACGAAGGAAAATTGTTTTTATCAGCGTTTTCTTTATTGCATATAATTTTCAAAAAACTTCCAAAACCAAATTTTAACAATTTAGAAAATAACACTCAAAATAATTGACCACCCTAAAACTCGGCGCGTTTTTTGCATAACCTTCGATTGTTTACTTTCGATTTGCCTGCTACGCTTGCTACGTTTTAATTCCAATAAGGGATGTTAATTTTTTCGCCTTTTACGATCCCGGTATTAGTCCCGGGTTTTAGATATTTATTACTTTTCAATAACTTAAGTCGAAAAAATTGCTTCTATCTCCTACCATAAAAGAAAAAAATATTAAGTAAATGGGTTTCAAACCGACTTTTTTATTTAAAGTGGCGTTTTTATATTTTCTCTCTGGCGTCGGGATTTATTTTAAAGGAATTTGTAATTTTAAACATATAATTAATTCAAAAAAATATTTAAAAAATTCAATGCAATGTAGAATAAAAATATGGGTACCTACCAAACGAAAGAGGCAATTTCTTTAGAATTAAAAAAAAAATTAATTTTTTTTTGGATTCACAAGGACGAATAAGTATTTTTTTAAGCTGATAAAGTTAGAAGCACGAAATTAGAGGATGTTATCGAGTTTATATACACATATAACATATAATTTTTTAACATATAACATAGTAACTCCTTAACATATAATTTTTTCAAACACAAATATTGCGAAATTTCAAGGATATAAAATTGGACATTTTGAATACTTACCAGTGCTTTAAGCACCAAAAAAATTAATCTGATTAAATTCTGCCGAATTTGCTCTTTAATTTGATACCCATACTTTTTCGCTAAGCACATTTCACCGTTTTTTTTTAAATCATTTTTGAATTACTGACGTCAGACTGAAAAACTCTTTTATACTATATTTGGCGCATGGATCCGCGAATATATAGATTTTTGTGTGTAAAATTTACAATCGCACGTTGTTATATGTATAATGAGCTAGACATCTATATAAAAATATTAATTACTAAATAAAAAAAGAAATATAGCCATCACTGGCCAAGAAAACGAGTTTGTATTATTGCCATCAGTGCAAATTATAAACCCCGAAAATCCCGAGAATATTTGCCAAGAGTCCCGGGATTTACGGGACCTAAAAAAGGCGGGGATCCCGCGATTCCGGGATTAACATTCCCAATTCCAATGGTGTTCGGCAAATTCAACATTTTGCGCCCTAACCGCCAACTTTTCTTGCTTGTTTGCTCCTTCTGTTTAAATTCATCTTTTTTTTTATGCTTCGCGAATTTTCATTCAATCACCGCTCCCATATCCGCTTTAATGTCAATATGATGAAGACAATAATCCGCATTGTTTTCCCGTTTGCCCTTCTTCATTCAACGTGTTCCTGACTTCTATTTTTTCCTTATTTTACTTTATCTTCTCTCGTTTTATTTGCAGCTTCCCGAAGAAAAATCACCGCAACATCCTGTCGAGTTATCCACTGAGTTAATGCTCGCCTGCACGGTAGCCATGTCACCGTCCTACACCAAGAAGCACACCCACCCCCAAGTGCTGGAACGCCTACCGGACCTGATAAGGTAAGTCAACAAACACCGAACAGTGCGCGTACGTATTCGTGTGTGGGAGAGCACATGTACGCTCAATTGCTCGCTCGAATCGCGACAATTTACAGGGTGTTCGCGCCGACCCGTTATAGTCGCGTAGGGGAAATGCGTCTTCGAACTTCGAAAAAATCGCGCTCGCTGTTGGGCCAGTGAATGCACGAAAGAGACGACTATAGCGTATTGACAAATGGCGCTCATTGCGGCTGCGCTACAAATGCCATTGCCGACCAGCTGAGCAGTGCGAAGAGCGAGTTCGAAAAAAGGAGTGGCCTAGCTGCTGCTTTCAGCGTTTTTTTGTTTTCTCTGTTTTTTTTTGCTGCTTCCACCTGCAACCGCATGCCACGCGCAACATAATACGCCCGTTAATATGCCATTGTGCGCGCATGTGTGTGCGTCGCGTGAAAGGGATAAGTGTTTCGCTGTTTGTGGCGAACGATTTTCTGATGAATGTTGTTGTTGCTGTATTTGCTGTGGTACGCCCGTGTAAATAAGCGCAGCAGGTAAACACTTCCAGCTCGCTGCTTTCAACGCGGCTGGCTACTACTACTTGTTTGGTTTTGTGTGCTCCTGGGCGCACCGCCGCTGGTGTAGGCGGCCACCACAATCCTTATAGCCGCTGCGCGCATAACAGCATTACCACAGCATTAATGCCGCGCGGCGCTACTAACTGCTGTGCTGCAATGTGTCTGCCAGCCGCGAAAGTACATACGTACATATCTACATGCTCACTATTTTAACGCGAAAGGAACGAAATTGTTGCTTTTGTTGTATAATTTTTTCGGATTTTTTTTCTTTTAGTTTTCCAACATCAAAAGTGGTTCTTCGTTGATGTATCTTAAAATTAAAAGAAAATTGTATAAAAAATAAAATAAATAAAAAAATAGGATCCGAAAAATTAAATGAAATAAAAAAATATATTTTTCTTTTTAAAACGGTAAAATAGCGGTAAATAAAAAAATTTTATTAAATAAGCACAAAATAAAAATTTCTAGAAGTTTAATTTAATAAAAAATAAATAAATATTTTTAAAACAGTAAAAAAAGAAAATTATTTTCAATTTAATTTCTATGAACTTATTTTATGTTTTCTTTTTTAATTATCTTTGTTATTGTTTTTATTCAGCGTTCTTTTAATTTTTATTATTGATATTATTTTATAAATAAAAATATTTTTTTTTTTATTTTACGAACTTACTTTTTTTAGTTAAATTTGATTTTATTTACTTTTACTTAATTTAATGATTTTTTTTAATTTAATCTTCTTTTTATTTTTTAGTTTTTATTGTTCAAAAAAAGAACATATTTTTTAATTTCATTTTGTTTTTAAAAAACTTATCGCTTAAACATGTCTTAGCCTTTCGAAAAACCAAAAAAGCCTTCAAGATAGTTACCAGGATTGACAACAGTGTTCTGAGAGACTTTTGTTTCATATGACATTTTATATTATAGTATCTGCGGCCGCTGGGGCTGAGTGGTTAGAGGTGTGTGCTACCAATCCGCAGGACCTGGGTTCTTTTCCCGGCTCGGGCAACATCTAAATTAGAAAAAGTTTTTCTAAGAGTGGTTGCCACTCGGCAAGCAATTGCAAACCTCTGTGTGTATTTCTGCATTGAAAAGGTTTCTCATAAACCCATTTGCCCATTTTTTCGGAGGCGGCGAAAAATTTTAAATTGTAGGTCCTTCCAATTGTGTAACAACATCAAGACGCACACCAAAAATTGGAAGAGAAGTACAAAAATATTAGAATTATTATTAATAGTCCCTGCTTATATCCTTTTTTCGTTCAGCTCTCTACTGTCAATGAATTCTTAGTCCTCTGGGTGGTTTGTGATTCATACTTTTCTTTCGTTAACTATATTAGCTTTATTGTACGGAAGGCCTATTATATATTAGCTTTATAACTCCGATTTATTCCACCCGTTCCCAGAAAATCAAAATAGTTCAACGAAGAGTCATTCGCTTCGCTCTCCAGCCGCGTTATTTCATAGAACCTTTACAGACATAGTCACAGACTGGAAGAAATGTACGTCTAGTCTGTATCTAAGGTTTGGTAACCAGAGACTCGAAAAAAAAAGAAATACGCAATTAAATTATCCTCGCCATCGAACGTTCAATAGGAAGTCTTTAATAATTAAACTTTGATGCAATAACTTTGCCACATTAAAGTTAACAAAGCTTAAAGAATTCAGCTGTTATGTAAAATTAATGACAAATGCTGCTAAAATCCACAAACAAGTAGGTGGCAGTGGGGGCGTAACAACAAAATATGTATACACATGCATACATACATACATATTAGAGGTATACGCCGCCGAGCCACGCCGCCGCCGCCGCCGTTTTTTGTCATTTCTCACGCGCCGCCGCCGAGTTACGTAAATATCGGCGCGGCGGCGGCGGCGGCGGCGTTCGGCGCCTAAGGAATTTTGTACAAAATTTTCATGATGTATGCACATTAAAATACATCATTTGAAGGAACTAAATACTACTCGTATAAAGACACTATTTTACGAAAAGAGGATTAAATTTTTAAAGGAGTTATTTCGCATAATTTGGGCCACTGAACATTTCCAAAAAAGCGTAACTCAGAAAAAACATAGGTAACACGTTATATTTTTCTAAGTGGCACATTTTGGCACTTTTTTATCCTCAATATGGCACTTCATAGCTAAGTATAGTTGGAAGCCCTGTTCCCAAGTGGTGGTCAAATCCCAGGAGGCGTTTGCTCCCGCGCATCGCAATGTCTTCTACACAGGGTTAAAGTCCCCATTTTTCGTAAAAATTACTATTATTTTTCATTACATTCAGTTCTCCTTACAAAAATTTGGCGCTTAATATTTTAGTGGATATTTTAGCTACCTATAAGTGGCCAGAAAGGCCCGTTCTGGTGGAAGTTGACCAAACCTTGTTTTCAATATACATATGACCCGCAAAGAATCGTAACAACTCCGTAATTTAACATAACGGATGATAAGATTATTGCAAAAAAATTTTGATAGCGACATAAATTACCCCAATAACTTAACATTTTAAATTTTTTTATTTCTTTAAATTTCAGTAGTATACATATACGGATTTGTAGAGAACATAGAGATATATTTATTTATATACGTCGGACTTTCTTCTGTTTGCCCATCCATCAGCAGCAGACACTCAACATTTTAATTCAAGTAGAAAGTAACGTAATTTTAATTTAAAACTAATTCAATGAATTAATTAAATACAATTACAATCTGAATTGGCATGGCCAATGCCTAACGCTGACGAGATGACATGATAAGATTAGTAGCTTTATGTCTCTTTTGGATCTACCTAATGGGCAGTAGCGCCGGCGTTTTCAGACGCGCCGGCGACGCCGCCGCCGCCGATTCTTTTTCAAGTTGACCACGCCGCCGCCGCAAAGCCTGTCGGCGTAAACCTCTAATACATATAACGCAAACAATCAGCCAACCAACCAACAACAATAAAATACAGATTGGCGCAACACAAACAAGCAAAATGACAACAACTGTCGGGCAGACAATGAAAGCACAAATAGGGCCAACGGGCAAGCCCCCAAAGCGCCTACTTCGCAACCAACAAACGCCGCCAGTCAGTCAGTCAGCCAGCCAGCCAGCAGCAGGTAGAGCGTCAGCGTCAGCGGCAGTGACGGTGGCGTGCAAGGATTTAAGTTAGCCTACAATGCGAAAAGTGCTGAAATTTGCATGAAAACATGCAAACAACAGGAACAGCA